AAAACCAAATTTTTATACACCCACATGAAATGGTGGTTGTATATTGTTGTCACCTATGTCCATCCACCGGACCATCCATCTTGTCCACAATTGCTCGTAAACACTCTTGAAGGTACAATTCTTGACTGAAGGTTAAATATTTCATACTGGTAATTGTTACTGTACTGACAAATATTTTTATTTAAAATCATGCTGCCAGTGGGCGTATATTACCTTGCCTGGCAAGCTATCTTATTTGAATAATGGTATGAGTCCATCAAGACTGCTGGGTATTCTTCTATGTCCATGTGCCTGACCTGGTACCACAATAGAATTGATTGGTAGGCTTTTAGCTTCTTAGGTTCAGTAGGTTAAGCTTAACCCTTCATTGTATTTTATACTGTGTGGAGCACAAGGACATTAATGCCAGAGTAACTCACATGGAATGGGACATTTTATGTCTGACCCTAACGTGCTAATGTCCCATATGAATATCAAGTCTGAGGAACAGATAAGGCCATATTTGTATGTAGATTATTTTGCAGCCTGCTCATTGTGAACTTTCACTTGTGGAGGGATCTTTCACGTGCACAACCTTCAGCACTTGGTTTATTGTCCCATCTGACTAGACATACAATACCAGCCTTTTCAACCATGTCTAAGGCTCTTTGTAGTACCAATATTTTAATTGTGAGATTTCAAAAAAAATACAGATGCCAGTTCTGATGGTACTTTCCTTTGGAGGTGTCCACTGCTACACAACTTTCACTGTTGATTTTGCCATACTTTGGGTAAGATTTTGATTTAAGGGAATTGTCGTACTTGTACAGATTTTGTATTGGACAATGTGCTGTGCTATTTGTCAGTCAGTCAATATACATATACCATATAGTATACCAATATAAATCAAAATTAAATAGTTAACATGTTAACTTACAGTGTGAAGGTAGAATTAGTGATTTAGAAATAGAGTTATCAGAATTACAACAAGATTTAGATAATTGTAAAGGTGAATTAGATGAAGTACATAATCAACTGTATGAAGAAAAGCAGTAAGTTGAAATTTTCTTCTTTGTCCAGAAAACTCATTGTTAAATATAGATACTTAGAAATATTAAAACAGATCCTAAAAACATGTTGTTATTCAGAGTTTCACGCTAAGCGATCTTCAGACAACTGACCTAATTTTCAGCCTGTGTCTTTACTGAAGATAGTGAAGTAGAACTTATTCTCATGTCTACACTTCGAGATGAGTCGGGATGTTTGTTCAAAGAAATTTGCTTAGGAGCATTAATGAAGGCATATACTTAAGGGAATATAGTTGTCTAAAAACAAATTCCCATCCAATAGAGCTTAATACACTTTTGATGTATGAAAATTTGACTTCTTGTCTGTCTACATTTAAATAAAAATCTACTAGCATAAATGACAATAGTCCTAATTTTAAAGGTATTAACATCATTGTCCTGTATATAGACACAGCTTTATACAGAATTATATATCGTACTCACAATTACTAAATGCAATTCAAAGACATCATTGTTCCATTCAACCACTTTACAAAATTAAATTGTATGATTCATTTAAACCCTCATATCTGTGAGTTGAATTTTGGAACTGTGATAGAACATTCTATAATGTCAATGAATATGATTCAAATTTTTAGTCACTCTTATAAAGTCATGAAAACCTTTTGTAATGTGATATGGTCTCCATTTCTGGTACTAAATGTAACCTTATTATAATCTCTTCTATGAACCTTGACAGATTAAATGATAGACAGAGAGAAGAAATAGATGAATTAATGTTAAATAAGCAACAATTAACAAAAGCTGAATTATCAATCAGAGTGAGTTTTTTAAAAATTATTATTATTGTTTTTTTTTTTACATAGTTACTAATTACTCGTTTGAGAATTTTGACTCACATGGCACCACAAAAAAGCTAAGGGGTAAGATTTCCCCTGCATTGTGCATCTTTCTCAGTTAAAGGGATTGTAAAGAGGTTGTCTTAATTTTTTATGTGTATCGTGAATACTGATAGCTTCTATTTGCACCATTCCAATTTTCATTCCACGACTGTGATTTTGCAATTCCACTAAAACTAACGCGTTTTATGACGTTGCTAGAGCGGAACTGCATATATATTAATAGTAGCTTCTGGTAGTTCCCTTCTAGTTACATCATAAAACATGTTAGTTTTAGTGGAATTGCAAGAACCACAGACGTCAGAATGAAAATTGGAATGGTGCAAATTGAAGCTATCATTGTCCCCGATACACATAAAAATGCCTTTAAGCCTACCCCTCAATGGTCATTGCAGAATATCTGATAATGTCTTGATAGACTCATTAGTGGTTCAGTTTTTTATAGATAGATACCAAAATGAATGGGAAATTTGGCTTCAAAAACAAACTAGATAAAAATGTGACATTAGTATGTCTTGTCTTGCCCTAAGCCAGTCTATATCCCATCCATTTATCAAGCATTGAATTTTACAAATGGATCAAATTCAGCTAACAGAAGGATTTTCTCAGATCATGCAAAGCAGTCACCCACAGAAAAAAAAAATGAAACTAAACATTTAGATCTGCATTTGAATCAGATTAATATGGTATTGCAGGATTTAGAAAACCAGTTAGAAAAACATCAAGATGAGATAACTCTGACTAAAGTTTATAAAACACAACTGGATAATCTACCAGTTTTAGAAAAACAGCTAGAAGAATTCAAAGAAGAAAATGAAGTTTTAAAGTAAGTTCAAAAAGGAAATTACAAAAAGAAATAGTACACCATGTTTTGTTTTCACAACACCTTAAAAGACAGCTCACTGTGCCAGTGGCCTGTAGTTGAAGACAGTACCTTTTCAACTATTTTCCATTGTGGGAGCCGCAGTGGCTGAGTGAGTTGGTATTTACTCACTAACCTGAATATCCTGGGTTCAATCCCAGTATATGTCAGGATAATTCCTTACGATAGGTTGGAGAGGTCGACATGTAAAAGCGTCAGTTGTTTGAGACCAAGACCCTGTATGAAAGAATAAAAGAAAAAAACTATATTTTACAAGGATAGCAAATTAGGTTCACAGTTATGGATCCTTTCTACTAGCTGATCCTTGGCCAAACCTCTTGGCATTGATCTTTCACAGATTATCCATACCCATTTACAGCTGAGTTGACTGGAATTATGAGTAACGATGACTTATTCGAGGTCATTTGACTATCACATGCCGATCGAAAATTGAATCTACAGCCACCATTTGCTCAATATAACCAATCAAATAACGTCATGTAAAGAATCAACACTCTAACCGTCTTCTTTACAACATGCAGGCTGTACATGTTAAAGATTCCTGGACAGTTGAAAATCGGAAAAAAGTGGCAAAAATGTTTACTCTGCATCGTGTTGTCCATCTTCATTAGCCCATTAGAGGCAGACATGTAGGATATAAAACTCCATTCATTTCATTGTTTCCCTTGTCAGTGATGCAGCGGCTTGGTTGAATGGGAGGCTATTAATTGAGTGGTATGTCCATGACATTTAGATAAAACTCCCATTTCATTTTCATGTACTTCAGAAGTTAATTGATAATGTTGTTTTTTTTGTGTTAAAGGTCTAATGAAAGAAATATAATGATGTATGAAATAGAAAATGATGATTTAAAAAAGAAGTTAGAAAGATCTAATGAAAGAAATAAAGAATTAAGTAAATTAGAAATAGAAATTGAGGTAAATAGATTTTGATGCTCTTTGATTATCCAGTACTTAAAATCCACAAGTTTACCATGAAAGCTCAACTTTGAACAATCCTTATAAACAGAGTCGGATGGCCCCGAAAAAAATGATAATTTTCATAGAATTATTCTTACATAATATTTTTATCTTATCACCAAATTACAGCTTATAAGTTGATCCACTTTGACATACCATATATTTATATATAGAAGACTATACGATATATATACTTTAAGGGACAAGTGCAGCCTTTTACGGAGGTTGATTTTAGTCTTGAATATATGTAAATAGTCTTCAGAAGTACTAGAAATGTACGAAAATTGCATAATTCCTTTAAAAATATCTCAAACTGACATTCAAATGCAGATAATTCTGGACACACATGGATTGGAAGGCTCCAATTTAGATGGTGAGCTGTGAACACTATTACTGATTGGTTTAGCTGAAAAAAATTCCTGTTTCTAAGACTAAAGTATGATCGGTAAAAAAAATGGTGCACCTGTCCCTTTAAGCTTCACTTAATCTGATAGTCTTGTAAAGATTAAAGATGCAGAACTTTGAAATTAGAATATTTATTATTTGTTATCTGTTATTACAGCATTGAAATCTTTATGCAATGATATGATTTCTGATTTGATTGTTTTTTTTTTTCTAGGATTTAAAGAGTAGACTAAAAAGATGGGAGTCATGTAAAATACCTGGTGTTAAACAACCACAGTAAGTTTTAATAATATTATCATAATGATTCCTGTTCAGTATAAATGTATCTATATCTAGGGATGATTTTGATAAAAAGTTTTTTATTATACAAACAGCAGGCCAACATCTCCTCTTAAACCCCTTTATCTTATCATTTCAGATCTGCCTTTATCTTATCATTTCAGATCTCCCTTTATCTCATCATTTTAGATCTCCCTTATCATATCAGATCTCCCTTTATCTCATCATTTCAGATCTCCCTTTATCTCATCATTTTAGATCTCCCTTATCATATCAGATCTCCCTTTATCTCATCATTTCAGATCTCCCTTTATCTTATCATTTCAGATCTCCCTTTATCTCATCATTTTAGATCTCCCTTATCATATCAGATCTCCCTTTATCTCATCATTTCAGATCTTGATTGGTGAACTACAGTTATCACAGAGAACCTATTTAGAAAAAGAAGGGGAACTAAATACTAGGTAGATAATTTAAATATGTTTATATCTAAGTGTGGAAAATTCTCTAGATGATATCAAACCCTTAAACAATCATTTGCAAGCATAGCAAAAATTATTACGCAATAAAGAGAGTAAGACTGCTCTCTGAATAATGCGTAATAATAATAATAATAATAATGATAAACTTTATTTTATTTGATTATTAGGTCCATTGCATCATAGTGACTTGGTGCTGTTTGGAAAGGATGGAAATACTTTGAAATAACTTTGAGAGTTATATTAGATTAATAATCATGTTATAATGAGATGATATTATGTTATTTCTAGTGTAAGAAGAAGTGAAGAACATATGAAAGAATATAAAGAGAAATATATTAAAACACAAGAAAAACTAGATACAATGACCATTGATTATCAAAAACAATCTGATTTAATAAAACGTTTACAGAGAAAATTATTATTTATTACCAAAGTAAGTCTCTGTTTTCTCACTTTCAATTTATACTTAAAGGGATACTACGTCTTAGAATAAACATAAAATTTAAGAATTTTAAACTTGGCCAATAAGAGCATATATTCATCAGTAGATATACCTAGTGTCATAAATAACATAACAGGATCCTTATATAATCCAATAAATCTAAAAAACTTAATAAAAATGCAATTAACTATTGAAAAACGTTTAATATTATGATTAAGTGTTTTTTAATCGTGACTTAGTTTAATGAATTTTCCAATTTTCTAGGTTTTACGGTGATTATGTTGTAACTTTATGACACCAGGCCACGAATTCTTGAAATGATCTAAGCGCTATGATATCCTAGGTTCTTATCTTCTAACATTGATTCTAAGACATCCTAGCGCTAAGATTGTTTCGAGAATACATGGTGTGGTTAGTTCACTGATGAATATATACTCATATTGACCATTCATCAGAAC